CAGCTGCTCGTATCAGTGTAAGTGTGTGTGTGTGTGTGTGTGTGTATGGTGTGTGTGTGTGTGTGTGTGTGTGTGTGTGTGTGTGTGTGTGTGTTTCAGGACGGCTCTCTGCTGTTAACATCGGCCTCCTGGAGTTATCCATTATCTGCGCTGTGGGGAATGAAGTCTGTGTTCATCATGAAGTGAGTCTACATGCACACAAACAAACAGTTGATCAATAAACCTCCCAATCGTCTTGTTTCTGTGTCTGTTTTTAATTGATGATCTGGTGGTTATTTGCAGGCATTCGTTCCTGGATGATCATTATGTGGAGTTCAGCAAACTCTCTCAGGACAGAGTCATAGGAACTAAAGAGCACATCGCACATGCAAGTCTAAAGCACACATTATTCCCTCACTAGTTTCCACTTTATGTGGGTTTTCCTTTTATTTCATTTGATTTCATAAATTAATGCAGATGGCCACAATAGGTTGTTTGCAATCACGTGATTCTGCTGATATTCAGATAGAGGCAGGGAGGAGAATATTGAGGAAAGTCGATATTGTTTACACGTCAGACTGTATTTTAACAGGGATATATTCCGAAAATGACCACATATGTTGGACATGATCCTTTATCTGTTTTCTGCTAAACTAAAATATTTGCTTCCTACAGCTCTGGGAAAAATGGTTGTAATTTTTAGTAAACAGTGTGGTGTTCTTAAACCATGCTACAGTGAAGCACTTCAATTTATTCATTGAGTTGCTATGGTCACGCAAGAACTATAATAATTGATCTGTTGTGGTGATTCTACAGTTGCTATGGTAACACAACAACTATAGTAATTGATCTGTTGCAGGGATTCTACAGTTGCTATGGTAACACAACAACTATAGTAACTGATCTGTTGTGGTGATTCTACAGTTGCTATGGTAACACAACAGCTATAGTAATTGATCTGTTGCGGCGATTCTACAGTTGCTATGGTAACAACGGCTATAGTAATTGATCTGTTGTGGTGATTCTACAGTTGCTATGGTAACACAACAGCTATAGTAATTGATCTGTTGCAGGGATTCTACAGTTGCTATGGTAACTCATCAACTATAGTAATTGATCTGTTGTGGTGATTCTACAGTTGCTATGGTAACACAACTACAGTAATTCGTCTGTTGTGGTGATTCTACAGTTGCTATGGTAACACAACGGCTATAGTAATTGATCTTTTGTTACAATTCTACAGTTGCTATGGTAACACAACAACTATAGTAATATCAAAAAATGAGCCAGTACTGGAGTTGTCTACAACTGCAGGGTATATTAAACTACGATACTCCACAGTTTACTGTAGTAAAAACTAAAGTACACTACAGTTTATATTACAGTCGATCACTTCACTTTAATAATGCTACAGTACACTGTATAATGTTCCTTAACGCATTCAAAGGCATGTGTGCATGTATTTGTTTTTGCCAAATCTCTCGTTTCTTCTAATGTTCAGCTTTTCTGTTTATATGAACTTTATGTATCTCATGATGGAATCATTTTTAAATTGTAAATATTTTTTGAACTACTTTTTATCTGGTTTAACATTAATTTTTAGTTGTATTTTGTCATATTTTAAACTGCTCTACCTGTCTGCGTGATGATTTGGGGTTGTTTCTGATATAATAATATGTTGCATTCTCTTTATTATTGAACAGTAATCACAATATAAATAACAGTCGTTCTCAAAAACAGAGCAGAATCTGCAGTGTGTGCCATCTAAGCAGATTTCTGTGCGTTTTCCTACAGATTTATGACATTCAGACTGGACAGAAGGTGCTGACGCTGAAAAACCCAGATCTGGCCAATAACTACAAGCGCAACTGTGCCACCTTCAACCCGACAGAAGACCTGGTGCTGAACGACGGCGTCATGTGGGACGTGCGCAGCTCGCAGGCCATTCACAAGTTCGACAAGTACAACATGAACATCAGCGGCGTTTTCCATCCCAACAGCCTCGAGGTCATCATCAACACGGAGATCGTATGCTTTTCAGCTCAGCTCACTGCTGGTTTTTACTCTGTGTGTGTGTGTATTTTACGATCTGTGCTTCACCTCCGTTAGTAAGGGTTTTCACCAGTGTTCTTTAAAAACATAACGAGTTTTACCATTTTTTAATTCTTTTTGCCGATCTCTGGGTCCAGTGGGAGCACTTTTAGCTAATCGTTAAATCAGATTAGACCATTAGCACCTCACTCAACATCACAGATCCTGCACTCTGTGTGGTCACGACGTGTGTTGAATGTTTTGAGACGTGAGCTTCAGGGTATGACGAAGGGTATATGTTCCTATACATTAGTTTCCAATGACCTAATCATGAAAAAGTTTCTACTAGGCTGCAAGAACACACAATTATATTATATGACCCACTTTACTTTGTTTCCCCTTTAAGAGCCAATATCATAGACTGGACAGCGGAAGTTCCATACCACTCCACTAGTAGAAGTCNTAAAGTTTTCTATCAGGGTACGAACACCTGCAATGCACTCAGCATCTATTTGCATTGCTTAGAAACATATTTAGTTTGGTCAGTGCTGCGCGTCCCTTTAAGATTCAGCCTCTACAGCACAGGTGTCAAACTCAGTTCCTGGAGGGCCGCAGCTCTGCACAGTTTAGTTCCAACCCTGATTAAACACACCTGATCAAACTAATTGAGTCCTTTAGGCTTGTTTGAAACCTACAGGTAAGTGTGTTGGAGCAGGGTTGGAACTAAACTGTGCAGGGCTTCGGCCCTCCAGGAATTGAGTTTGACACCCCTGCTCCTACAGCATGAGTGAGAAACAAACATCTCTCTCTGTTACGGCGAGTTGTATTGGTTTGTTCTAGTTTGTTATCGAATGCATTTGTGATGGGTGTAATTTCAGGTACATGTTTCTGTGTGCACACCAACCGAAGT